CTGTCTATAAACCAGGACAGGTTGCTACCTGGAGATTGTCATCCTTTTCCAGGAGGGGTTGGAGGTCATCAATGATGGATCTTAGATGTTCAAACTGGGGGCTGTAGGTGACAACCAGAAGAATTCTGTTGTCCTTGCCTTTGGTATTGTAACAGGTTGGAGTGAAGTTTGAGTCTGGCTTTGTTGATCCAAATGGCTACAGTTTTGAGACTGTATTGTCATTGTAGGAATCCTTGCTCCAGATCCTTAAGGCAGGTCAGATCCCAGTTGGCAGGTTCAGAGCACCTCTGGCTGTAACACAGAGTTTGGCTCTAGATGATAGATTTAATGGTGTCTTCAGCTGCTGCCATAAAGAGAACTGTGGCAGTTGGCTGGTTTCCAATAATATGTGGGAGCAATGTGGCCATTGCAAACTTTCATTGTAGTGTCTAAGAAATGAATCTGCTATGTAGTGTATCCCAGAGTTAGTTTGAACAAGGGGCAGAAGTTATTAAAGTCTTAGTGATTTTTTTTCAAGGGTTTCGTTTCCATGTATCCATATTATGAAGATATCATTTATGTACCTGGGGTATACCAGGAGATAAGAGGGCAGCTACAGAGGAAACAAATTTCAAGGTCAGTCATAAATAAGTTGGCATATTTAGGAACCATACACATGCCTATGGCACAACCATATGTTGTAGGCATAGGGAGTCCATGAATCTGAAACAGTCACATGTGAGGACAAAGCAGGAGAGTGAAATGGAAACAGAAGCAGTTTTCCCGTCAAGAATAATAATTTGGGACAGTGGTGCCATTGAACATCAAGAATGAGTGAGAAAAGTATTGGTTTCTGCAAGAACTAGCAACCTTAAATTGAATATGAATAAATGTCAGCTTCAGATAACATATCTGGGCAAGCAACAGACCTCAAGATGAATCTTACATTATGACTCAAAAGTTCATATGATATTAAGTATGCCAAAGACTGAAGATAAAATCAGAATGCAAAGATTACTAGGAAAGTTGAAGTATGTCAGAAAGTATGTACTTAACTACACAAATCATACAATTCACATAAGGCAACTACTCCATAAGGCCATGGAATGAGCTTAGATGCCACAACATGAAAGTAAATGTAATGATCTAAAACTTATGGACATCAATCCCAGTGCTATAATTCTCTGACCCATTAAAAGACATCAAACTCTCCATGGATCCCTCAAAAGGTGGATTTGGAACAGTACTATTACAGCATTATGGAACTCATTGGTTGCCAGTCTCATACTCTGCTAGGCCTATCACAGCTGCAGAAAAAATATATGCACAGTGTGAAAAAGAGACCTTAGCATGAGTTACAGAAGTACAAGATCTATGATTTACAGCATGGTCGGAGAAACAGATCACAATGAAATATTCAAAAAAGGACTTAGAGCTGCACCACCAAGGATACAGTGACTACTTCTGAAATTACAGAAGTATGATATGACACTAGAGTTCCAACCTGCCATTTAGTGATGGCAAACCTGTTTTCAAGAGCATACCCTGTATCAAATAGTCCACAACCTTATCATCTGGACCACTGGAACCATGTATGTGAACATGATTAAAATATCATGCAATATATCTCCAGGCATTTTGGATTAACTGGTGATGGAAAAGTCTAAAGATGAAACACTGCAAGAAGTGATACGTGTAATAAGTAAAGGAGGAAGAAAATCACCATTTCCCTCTTGCATATTGTCAATATAAAAATGAACTTTCAGTGATCTCAGGAGGGCTCATAAAGCATACACAGGCTGCAATTTCTGTAGTAACGAGAAAGAAAATTTTGGAATGAATACATGAAGGACATCTAGAAATAACCAAATCAAAAAGCAGAGCCAAAGATGTTGTCTTTTGGCTCTGGAGTAACAGTGATATTGAAGACATAGTGAAGAGGTGTGGAACATGTCAGAAGTACAGGACCCCAGCAGAGAGAACCAATGATACCTGTGAGCAACTTGCTGTTCCATGGGACAAAGTAGAAATTGATCTGTTCAGTTTGGGATAACCTGACCACCTGATTATAATGGATTACTATACTAATTTTCCAAAAGTTGTGACATTTGAAGACATCAGAGCAACAACAGTGATCAGGCATATTAAATCTATATTTGCACACCATGGAATTCCAAGAACTGTAATTACTGACAGTTCAGGAATAGGGAATTCAAGATTTTGTTCAAATGTATGATTTTTGACATGAGATATCTAGTCCCAGATACCATGGAGGCAATGGATTAGCAGAATCGACATTGTGAAAAACCCACTTAAAAAGCAATGGAAGAAGGGGAGGATCCACACTTGACACTATTTAACTGCAGAGCTACATAACTGCAGTATGAAAAACTTCTCTACCATAGGTGTATGAAAACTCAACTACCAGACATGGGGCAAAAAGGAAAGGTGACAAAGCCATCTATGATTATACTTGCCCAGTCTTTTCTCCAATATCAGATGCAGACTTACAACAAAGAGGCAAGACCACTTCCACAGGTAAAAAACAATGATTCAATTCAAATTTGGCAAGATGGACACTGGCCAGTTAAAGCTAAGGTAAGAAAAAATATACTCTGTGATCATAAATGAAAGCCAAATCTTGAAAAGGAATTGTGGACACCTGCTCAAAATCTCTGACAATGAGGATAATATGAGTGAAAAGGGAACAGAGACACCAGTTGAAACCAATTTATAAATTGATCCAGAACCTGACCCAAAGAGTAAACATTCAAATACAAACAAGGATGTAAATAAGAGGGGCCTGCAGTACAGTAAAGCTGGAAGATTTCTGAAACAACCAAAGAGATTGATTGAGACGTGTTAGCTTGATTTTTTCAACAGTTGTTTTCTTAATGTTCTTACTTTAGTTGGGATTTTTTTATAAAGGGGAAGATGTGACATACAGTAAGTCCCAATAGGCACGCAGAGTATCCAGAAGGTGTGGTATTCCAGGAGACAGTTAAGATTGCATTGGCTGTCCTGATTTTTCATGTGTTACAGGTGAAAAAGTAAAAGTGAGCCCAGAGGCAGTCTAGTATCTTCCAGCAAGAATTTCCAGGTGACAAAACAGGCACAGAACACTTGCCAGGGCAACAGTAAAAACCCATTACCTCTTTGCTGTAAGTAATTGTATATATAAGTTTTTGTATATAAAAAAGATTTCTGTCTACATAATAAGCCTAAAGATTCCTCCACTCCTATCTACTTCAATGGAGCTACATTCCAGTACCCCTGCTGGGCACCTGTCCCATAATACATTTAGTCCCACGTTGCACTATTGTGCACAGATATATAGTAATGCACAAGAGGCAAGGTTGTGAAGAACTGGGCTCACTGAATCCAGAAACATACTACTAATTCATGGAGAGGAATGATTACCTATAGGTTTTTCTTTTTTCTCAGGTTTTTCTTGTCTTGCAGGTTTGTCTTTGTGTGTCACTAGAAAGAAAAGGAACAAATCTATTTAGCTATAAAATAAAATGAGGTATTAAAAGATTGCTACCAAGATACATAACCAAGGATACAAAGCTTCAGTTTCTAGTTACAAATTTGTTTTTATATTTATTATACGTCACATTCTCAAAAAGTTGTCAAGAACAGGATCCAGAGCTAGGCCAAATGGGTGATGTTTAATTTCAATATATATTTAAAAAGGCACCTTAAACCACCAATTATTCTGACCCACATCCAGCTGCCTGCAGCAGAGCCTCTGTCCTGTTGCAAATGAACAAATGACTTTCTTTCATATGTAAAGAAGGCTTGAGCCATGTGGCAGATCTTATGTGTACCCAGAGCATTTTTTTCATATATTGCTTCTTTGAAAAGGGTGCTGAGTACTAGATGCTGGCTAAAATCAATCCTGAGCAGGTGGTGCCAGCTCAGTTGGCTATTATAAGATGCTCAGGCTGTTTCAAATCAGAAATGTAAAATGTCAATGTGGCTTTCTTCTTGTAGGAGGATCTGTATTTTGCACAAATAACCCCACATTTTGACTGTTTACCTGACTTGCATACCTGAGGCCATAAGCAGCAGAGTAATTTGCAAGACGATTGTAGAGAATGTGTGGATTTTACAGCACATTGAAAAACTGCTGCTAACAGTAAGACGGCTTCAACCTTAACTAAAGTGGACTTACTGCCACACTAAAATAAAACTCCTTTGTCAAATGAGGAAACAGAGGAGATCTATTAAGGGAATATTATTTCCATATATAGCTAGAAGCAACAGTAAGAGACCAGGGAGTATTCAACCCTGCACTTTGTTTAACAATAGGGTGATTGCTGGAGAATATGTGAGAAAGTGAATTCCTGCTCTATCCAAGCCATATATCTGGGCAGTTAATTAGTCCCTCTATTGTCTTCTTTCCCCCCATCACCTCATTAGACACTTTTTCTTAATCTTCATCATGGAAGCTAATTAGATATTAGACTAAGATAATGTTTACTCTCTACACATTCAAATCTTGCAAATGAAATGTATTTGAAGTGCATAATCATGTTCACAGTGAAACTCTCAAGAATCTCAGATGCACAACAGCAGAGCAGTACTAAGACTGCACTGGCTATACACTGCAATATGAAAATAGTAGAAGTGATCTCAGAGAAGCTCCGACCAAAGGAGGGTGTTCATTGGAAATACATTCCAATTTCTCTGGGCTCACTTTTACTGTTTACTTTTACTGTATACTCACTCAATTTGCAGTAAGGCTAGAGTATACCTACTCCTATAGCTAAGTAGACAAACTATTTATTAAGGACAACATCAGGGGTCAGCAATTCCCAGCATGTGTACCAAAGCATAGTGCACAAGGCCATTTTGCTTGACACACTACAGCTGGCCTGGAGTCTGGGCAGCTGCTACTGGCCTCAAAGACTGGGCTGCTTGCAGCAGCTGGCCGGAAGGCTGCAAGCGGCCCAGGCTCCATGGCAGGCAGGAGCTGCCCAGAGTTTGGGCTGGATGTGGCAGGCAGCCCAGAGGCTACAAACAGCTGGACAGGGCTCCAGAGCCCCAGCCAGGCTATGTGTAGGTGGCGGTAGTTGTGCACAAACCTCCAGAAAAATGGGAGAGGGGCAGGGTTGTGCTGCCCGAGTTCCTTCCCCGCCTATGCCCTGAGGCACGTGTGCAGTAGTCAGTGGCACACAAGCTGGTGCCAGTGCTCCAGAGCTCAGTGCAGCTGTTTGCAGCCTCCCAGCCACCTGCTAGACCTG